TAACCCATTTTCACCCTCTACAAGTTAGGGCTGAACACCACCTTACCATTTCTTTCACTTGCATATGAAGGGGGCTGCTTGGAACTCCAAGATAGACAATTAAAGAAGGAAGAGACAAAGAGCTCCATAGGCTCTAGCTATTTTCCAATTGCAAAAGAGAACGAGAAGTAAAAGTTCAAAGAGACTAAGTTACGGTTAAAGCTTCAACAGGTAAATTATGGAACTACTTCTATATGCATTCTATTATAACTTGGACCTATACTTAAAGAGTACATGCGTGTGTCTAATCAGGTGTAAATCATTTTAATTAAAGGAGAAAGTTAAGACATACATTGTTGTTGTTTGAGAATTCTTTGACTATCCACGAAACCCAATATTTATTCATGCATGGAGTTGATGAAAAGGCTTATAGCATAGTTGCATGTAGAATTCTAGCCTTAGGAGACATTCTATGGTGTGTAAGACTAGCTCTGATGGGGGTCTTTGGACTTGGGAGACCCTGAGGTACCGATGCAGTTGAAATTTGAAATTCGAGCACTATTCGTTGGCTTTTCTTATTGCAGCGAGCAGTCTCTTGAGAATAAGGCTTGTTGGAGTTGCTCGCTAGTAACATCGAGCAGTCTAGCAAACAGGCCCTGTTAGTGATACCATCTCTGGCCTTTCTCGTTGGTGCATCTCAAAGTTTCAAAATTATGACACCATTTAAAAAAATTATAGCGAGATTAATGTGTTATTTAGTGCAATACATGAGAATATGTAAAATATTTCTACGAACTTGTTTGGAATGGTGATAAGTGATGACAATCGCCACCATTGGTATGTGAGAGGATCTTTCCTCTTTGATCCCAGAATGCCAAAATGCCCTCGCCTTCATATTTAGGGATTAATGTTTCTCATGTGATGTGAGACAAAATCATCTCTTATACATTAATAAAAGTAGTGGCGGAGTCAAGATTTTTTTATGTGGGGGGAAAAATCAAATATATAGGCATGTCGAAGCAAAAGAATTTTTCCAACGACCTTTAAAAGTATCATCAAATGACTGGTAGAAGATCTAAACCACATCCACATACAACAAGTAGTCAATTACAAAATCACAAAAGAAGAGATCCAATTATCCAACACACACATACACAAAAATGGAAATGAATAAAGAAGAGAAGATTTTTTCCTCCATCTCCGCAAGCTCCATCACCTCTTCCTTACTTCTCTCTTTTTCTCTTCTTCCATCAACTCCCACGATGTCCTTTTGATATGTAAGCATGACAAATATTTCAGTAAAACCATGGCATGACCTGTAAAAAAAGAATGGCTAAATAACAACACAAGAAGGGGGGGTGAAATGTGAAACTTTTATTTTCATTTTCTTAAAAATCATGATACAATATGTAGTGCATAAATCTAGAGATTTTTTCTTAGAATTTGATTTTGAGAAAAAAATCTATAAATACCATACCTTGAGTCCTTATTCATAGTTGTTCAAGAATTAACAGTACAAACAATATACTTTTGAATCTTTTTTCACTTGAAAACTTTGACTTTGATGTTAACTTTGCACATTTGAATTACTTCTTCACTTTTGCATATTGCCTTAATCTTTTAACTTCATTTGAGACTTGTTGCACTGCCTTCTAATTTGTGCATCCATGTTAAGCTTGTTGGTGATTTGTAATTATCAAAACTTCAAGTATATAAGCTTGGAAACCTATGGTTCAACATGACCTTAAATGGCCTAGCTAATAGTAGATGTCAAAAAGAAGTGAAAAGATCAAATAATAGTAACTCAGTTGGCGCAAGAGAAGTGAGTAGGTGAGAGTGAGGGTATGTGTTCGATTCTTTCCACTACAGTCTTTGAAAGAAATTTAAAGTCTTAATTCCAGAACCTATCTCAAATCAGACTAATCATAAAACAAATATCTTAAAAAAAAAAAAAAAAGACTAAGGAGTGCCTAGCAAGGACTAACACAGGTTCCAAGAAACCAATGCAGTAATGATAAAGTAAGGCTCATATGGATTGTAAATGTAGAAATGTAATGACCAAAAAGGTCCACTATATTCTTGCGAAATAAAGTGGTGAGACGAAGTCACACAAAGTACCAGCTGAAGATATTTCCAATAAAAATTTACAGTATTTATCAATCCTTAATTAGTTGATAATCCTTTGCAAGCCCATCATCAGATGACCCAGCAACCACAATCGATAAATGTGGGATAATCTTTTGAATCAAGAACTCTATTTTTTTTTCAATATTTTTTGGGATTGCCCACCCTAGGCCCCTTTGTCCCTCCTCCATAAAAGTGTATGAGTTCATATGGAGCCATGTAAAAAATAAAAAATAAATATAGATTCAAACATTTTTATGTATATAGGAGATAAAATTATCTCATATAACATGAAAAATATTAACCTCTCGTACTTATTAATTAGTTATTAATAGCAAATTTGCAATTACGTTTTTATTTTTTCCTTGTTTGTCAGGAAGCTATTTGTATTTATGAAGTGCATAATGTTTCATGATAAATAGATATGCCCATGGGTATTGGGGTTTGGGATGCAGAGATTCTTTGACAATTTAGTAGTTTTAACATAGATATGTGTTATAATTTAAAAAAAAAAACATAGATATGTGTTATTGTTTCGAGTTGGTATTGTAACTGTTATTATTAATATTTAATACTGTTGTATCATATAAATTAAAGAATTTAATTGATATAGACAGTCGTTTAAAATAAAATTACACCAGCATCTAATAAAATTTTGACACATCATTATTTATTAGTTTTATTTTAATTAATGAGAATATGATATGATATGATAGGATAACATATAATTAATAATGTGTTAAATGATAAGTTATAATATCAATATAAAATTATTTTACGCTAATAATACATACCAATTCTTACCCTTAAGATCCAGTTTGCTTCTACACGAATCAAGGATGGATAAAGGTATTTAAGGATTTTTTTTTTTACTAATTAAATCTTATTTTATAACAGATATTCATTTTTCTAACTTTTACCTGTACAAAATTGTTTTCTACTTTCTTAAGTTTTATTAGTACAATATAATTCTGTTTATAAATCTTCATTTCGGAGTACGCTTCATATACAAAAATTCTGTAATATAAATTTAAACTATTAAATTTAATTAAAAAATGGTGAATGGAACCATCTATTCAAGTTGATGAAAAACACTTTACGTGAGTGCAATTGAAATTATTTAAAAATTATGATACATGTATTTTATGAATTAAATATGAAAGTTAAAACCTGATTCAGAGGCTTTTGTTTTTAATTTTTTAAAGGTGAAGAGAATAAAAAAAAAAAGTAGTAAAGAGATACTCTTTTATATTAATTTTTTTTTAAAAAAGTTGAATTTATAAGAAGGTGATAGAATTCTATTTCCCTGAGCGGCAAAGACCATATGACGTAACATAAAAGGAATTTTGTAAGGATGATAATAAATAATAAAAAGATAAAATAATAAAAAGTATAAGAAATATTTATCAAGTAACAATTGATTAATTAAAAATAAAAAATATTAATTAATAATTGACATCGTAAAGCATATATAAAACCTTAAATTAATACTTATTATCATTAAAATGTTTTTTATTTTCTAAATATATAATTACTATAAAAAACAATAAATTATGAAGCCTAATACAAATTAAACTTAGACATACAGTCAAGACTTTATTAACTTTACCTCTAACATTTTCATTCCATCGCAGTTAAATTTGCTTTTTCTATTAAACTAAAATTCGTTCTCTTAAGAGCTATTAAATATCTTAATTTGTTCTTCTTTTTAAGAATAATACATGTTATTTTTTTAAAATATTAAACTAAAATTTTAAAATTAAATTGTGTATTTTTTTAATAATTTTAAATATTTTTCTTTTAATTTATACTTTTAAAATATTTCATAAATTAAATAAAACAATATATAATATACGTGCTAGAATTCTATAAACAATTTATTTCATTTTGCATTTTATTACGTATCATTTCATTCTACAATAAAACATCCGAACAAAATCTATGAAGTTCCCATGTCTGTATTCATTTTGTAACTTTTCCAAGACTTGAAAAGTTTTGTTATCGCAACACGTGATGAGCCATCTTCTTTATTATTTTCTTTTAATAAATAAATTATTATTATTTTCTTCTTTTTAGCTATTTTTCATAAATAAAGAATCGAAGCTCACATGTTTTGTTTTTTCTAAAAACGTAGCAGCCCATGTGAACCAATGCCACTTGATGTGGTGCTGTCACATGCCACAAACTGTACATTTTTTTGTTTCTTTTTTTATGAATGATGAATCCATACGGTATCACATGTTGCGCCATGCACACTTGCATTTTATTTGACTAAGCATAAAAAATAATAATTACAACACGACACAAAACACCCAAATAAGTAAAATTATTCTTATATACATCTTTTATTACGAACCTATTAAAAGCACATCAAAGAATAATAGCCATTCGCTATACACTGATATTGAGAGAAAATCTTCAAATACAAGGAAGACCAAGTTAGGGGCTTTCTATTATTAAATAGGAAAATTATTTTTTCTCTTTTTACTTATGTTTTCTTTTTCTTTTTCTTTAAGTACTAAGTTTTTTCCCTATTTAATAAAAAGGAGCATTCAATTTGGTGCTTCCATTACATTAGGCCTCCAGAATCTAGATAGTGATGTGTACCTTTTATCGAAAAAATAAAAATTTAAGTTTACCAAAAAAAAAAAAGCTTTTACCCAAAAGATATTACTAAATGGATTCAATGGAAGGGTTCCCCATCATGTCTACGACATCTACAAATGAACCATGTTTATGTAGCAAAAGTACAAACGCTTGTAGTCCTTTACAACGTGTAAAGTCCAACAGTACAAACGTTACAAATGCCACGAACTGTCTTAACATCGCATGACACAATAGTAGAAATTGTAGTTGGTGATGACCGAAAAATAATCACAGAAACGGATATTGCTAAGATTTTCCCACGGAATTTCTACCAGAATCATAATTTTAGTTACAGAATAATTGATGTTTATAACTTTATATAATCATGCATGTACTATAAAAGAAAAAGTTCAGTACAATCCACATAAACCAAAATGAGTTGGCCATGCGTATCTAAGGTAGTGACAACAAAAGATGTTAAGTGTGCTCATTTGGTTTAAATTTTGGACAACGAATTCTTATGAAGTATCAATATAATCAGACCATCCATCGCTGTAACTTTAAAAAATCAATATAGGAAACAACATGAACCGCCTGAGGACATCCCAAGAATTTCCAAGTTCAGACTAGTAATGCAGTGACCGCGACGCAAAACAAGGCATTATATGACACATGCGTTCTTCATCAGCAGTGTTAAATGGAAACAATTCAGCTTCTATGCAATGCCTCTCACATACTGGTCCAACGTTGTATTGAACAGCTCACACCTATGAAAACCCATCAAAAGTTTATCAATCCAAAAAAGCTCTAATGCCTACCAGACAATCTACCAAAGCATAAAAGATAATCCCTGAACCCATTATATGCAAAGAGGAAATAAAAATGAAATTCAATAATTTATATATTAAATCAGAATTGAATTCGAGCTTTTCAACATTAAAAATATATATAAAGAAATAAGGTTAATTAATTGATGACACAATCGTATTAAGGAAACATGCATGAGTGACTTGTGACAACCACTTCCAGGTACCATATTCAACATCAACATCGACAACTCCTTTATCCTAAACTAACTGAAATCGATGGTAGATGAACCCAAATAAAAGATATGAAAGGGTTGAAAAAAGATAAAAAATAAAAATAAAAACAAAAATAAATAAATAAATAAAATAGTAATATAAATATATATATAAATATAAAAGTAATAAAAGAAGGGAAAAAGAAGAAAAGGGAGGAGATGAAGAGGAAAAGGACTAAAAAGAGATCGTCTGGAATATAGGAATAACAACGGGTCTAACCCTCCAACATACTTATAACTTTTCTCCATTTCGTTCTAAGGCACACCATCCACCAATCTATATCCAACTCCATTAAGTCTTGTTTTACTATCTTCCCTCAAGTAAGTTTCGGTCTACCTCTACATTTCTTTATGTTGAGTTCTTGGTAACAAACTTTTGTTCTTACGGGAGCATCAGGGTCTTCTCATTACAGGCTCAAACCACCTCAATTTATGTTCTCTCATTTTTTCAGCCACTGGTAATACTCATACCTTTCATCGAATATTTTCATTTCATATCTTATTCATCCTCGTATAACCACACATCCACCTTAACATCCTCATCTCTGCTACTCCCATTTTATGCTCATGTTGCCTATGTGTTGGCCAACATTCAGCTCCACATAGCATTGCGGGCCTTACTGCTATTCTTTAGAATTTTCCTTTTAACTTAAAGGGGGATTTTGTTGTCACACAAAAACCCAGATGCACTACGCTATTTCATCCACCCTGCTCTGATTCTATGATTACATCCTCATTAATCTCTCCACTTTTTTGCAAAAATGGATCCCAGGTATCTAAAAGCATCTTTCTTAGGTACCTCTTGACCAAGTAGATGAACGGGATCTTGGTCTATCTCTTTCCAGAGAAAACTCACACTTCAAATTTTCAGTCTTGCTCCGACTTAACGTGAATCCTTTAGATTCCAACGTATTTCTCCACAATTCAAGTTTTTTATTAACACCGTCTTTGTTCTTATCAATAAGCACAATATCATCTGCGAAAAACATACATGATGGCACTTCTTGAATATCTTTTGTTAGTCCATCCATAACTAAGGCAAAGAGATAAGGACTTAGAGCCGAACCTTGGTGTACATCAACTGTGACTGGAAAATAACTTGATGTTCCATTACAAGCTTTCACACATGTAGTAGCCCCATCATACATATCCTTGATGTTACTTGAATAAAATAATATGTTGTGTATAAAGCTAATACAAAGAGTTACAATATATAGAGACCCTAATGGGCTTAAGTGAGAAGCCCAGACCTAATCTAAAACTAAATAGGAAAAGAATATTTACAGATAGGAAAGTAATCTATACAAATCTATATATCTAATATTTCCTATTCTAACACTCCCCCTCAAGTTGGTGCGTATATATTGTGAGCACCAAGCTTGTTACAAATGTATTCAACCCGAGGACCTCTAAGAGCTTTAGTGAAGACATCCGCTAATTGATCATTAGAGTTGACAAAAGCCGTTTTGATTTCTCCTGACTGAACCCTTTCTCGAATGAAGTGACAATCAATCTCTATATGTTTAGTTCTCATGAAATACACGATTAGAGGATATATGTAGTGCAACTTGATTATCACAAATGAGTGTCATGGGTTGTTTCTATTCACAAAGATGAAACTTGTGAAACTTGTGTTTTCTGTAGTGGGCCTCATTTGTTTGATAGCTGCTCATCCAACCTAGAGTCTGTTTACTATGTGGGAAACCCCAATAGGAATGAGAATAATTTTTTCAACAATTCTTGGAGGCAAAACCAAGGGCCCCAATATTTTCAAAGGCAAGGGCAGCAAGCTAGACCCTCCAATGCCCAAACCAGGCAACCTTTTCCTCCTCAAAACTATCAACCTCCAAGGCAGCAAACAGTTGCTCAGCCTTTAGCCCCATATCCTCAAAACCAATCTGGTGAGATGACTTCCTCTTCAACCTCTTCCTTAGAGGCTTTGTTGAGGAAATATTTGGTTAAGAGTAAAACTAAGCAAAACAACTTGGAGGTTGTAGTGCAAAGTATTCCTGCTTCCTTGAGGAATTTAGAGTCCCAACTAGGCTATTTAGCAAGAAAAAGGTTTAATTTAAGAGGAAAACTTAGAATCTGGTCAGCCACCCATAGTCCATGACAGCCACCAAGAGGCCGAGACTAGTGATCCTTTGCCTGTTCTGGTTGAACTAGAAATTCAGACCCAAATAGATCCTTTTTTAGGGACTATTTCAAAGGAAAATCCACCTCCAAAGAGTTAAGCATCTAAGCCCACTGTTGAGACACATGTTGTCAACAACAGACCTCCACCACCCTTTCCCCAAAAGCTTCAAAAGCAGAAGCAGGATCACCAATTTAGGTAGTTTCTTGATCTCCTAAAACGACGTCACATCAATATTCCATTTGTAGATGCTTTAGAGCAGATGCCTACTTATGTGAAGTTTATGAAAGAAATTCTTTCTAAGAAAAGGAGGTTAGAGGAATTTGAGAATGTTGGTCTTACATAAGAGAGCAACCAGTATATGCTTAGCAAGATACCTCCCAAATTAGAGGATCCAGGCAGTTTTACAATCCCTTGCACCATAGGAGACCATTACATAGGCAGAGCATTGTGTGACTTAGGTGCTAGTATAAATTTGATGCCTATGAGTGTTGTTAAGAAGCTAAAGGTAGGAGAACCCAGCCCTACAACTGTTACCTTGCAACTAGCAGATAGGTTCTTAGTCAGTTGAAAATGTTTTGGTCAAGGTGGATAAGTTTATCCTACCAGATGACTTCATCATTTTAGACTATGAGGAAGATAAGGAGGTACCTATAATTTTAGGGAGGACTTTCTTAGCCACTGGTGGGTGTAATTCATGTTAAAGAAGGAGAGTTGTCCATGAATGTGAATGGGGAACAAGTAAAATTTAACATTTTAAAAGCCTTGAAGTACCCAAGAGAGTTTGAGGAATGCTCAATGATAGATATAATTGACCATGCTGTCCAGCAAATGATGATAGAGGCAGAATCAGTGGACCCATTAGAAACCAAAATGTGTGAGAGTTTGGAAGTCAGTAGGACAAATGGTTGAATACTAGGTCCATTCCCAATTGGAAAAACAAGAACTTTGAGTCACTAGAACTTACCAAAAGAGGTTTTAAAATTCCCAAACCTTCAATTGAAGAGCCTCCCATTTTAGAGCTCAAGCCTCTACCTAATCATCTTAGGTATGCTTATTTAGGAGAAAAAGACACTTTGCCAGCCATTGTGTCTAATTTGCTCACTGTTTTGGAAGAAGAGCAGCTGCTGGCTGTTCTAAAAAAATTTAAGAGGGCTATAGGTTGGTCTTTTGCAGATATTAAAGGTATTAGCCCCTCTTATTGCATGCACAAAATCCTTTTGACAGACCCAAATAACAGCTCTAGGGAGCAACAGAGAAGACTTAACCCAATTATGAAGGAGGTGGTGAAAAAGGAAATTATTAAGTGGCTGGAAGCAGGTGTTATATACCCTGTTTCGGACAGCAACAGGGTTAGCCCAGTGCAATGTGTTCCAAAAAAGGGTGGGATCATTGTTATAGAAAATGAGAAAAAAAAATTGATACCCACTAGGACTATCACTGGTTGGAGGATCTGTATGGATTACAGAGAAATAAACAAAGCCACTAGGAAGGACCATTTTCCCTTACCTTTTATAGATCAGATGCTGGACAGATTGGCTGGTAGGGAATTTTATTGTTTTGTTGATGGCTATTTAGGCTATAATCAAATAGCCTTAGCCCCTGAAGATCAGCCAAAGACCATTTTCACTTGTCCCTATGGCATTTTTGCCTTTAGGAGGATGCCCTTTGGGCTGTGCAATGCACCAGCCATCTTTCAAAAGTGCATGATGGCTATTTTCACTGATACGATAGAGCAATTTGTGGAAGTCTTCATGGATGACTTCAGTGTTTTTGGAGACTTCTATGAAGAGTGTTTAGAAAATTTGGGAAGAGGGCTAGAAAAATGTGAGTAGACAAATCTGGTTCTTAATTGGGAGAAATGTAACTTTATGGTGAGAGAAGGCATAGTGCTAGGACATAGGATCTCTAAGGCTGGTTTAGAGGTAGATAAAGCCAGGATAGACCAGATTGAAAAGCTACCTCCCCCTGTTAATATAAAAGGCATTAGATCCTTCCTTGGGCATGATGATTTTTATAGGAGGTTCATAAAAGATTTTTCAAAAATTTCTAAGCCTCCGAGTCATTTACTTGAACGCAACACCCCATTTCAGTTTGATGAGACTTGTCTTAAAACTTTTGAGGAGCTAAAACAGAAACTGATTTCTGCTCCAATAATAGTAGCCCCTGACTGGTCACTGCCATTTGAGTTAATATGTGATTCAAGTGATTGGGCAGTGGGGGCTGTGTTAGGACAAAGAAAAAATAGAGTTTTTCACTCTGTTGGCTGTGGTGTTTGCCTTTGACAAATTCAGATCATATTTGGTAGGCACTAAGGCCATTGTGTACACTGACCATTCAGCCATCAAGTACTTGGTGGAAAAGAAAGATTCAAAGCCTAGGCTAATTAGGTGGTCCTTCTCCTACAAGAGTTTGACATGGAAATAAAAGATAGGAAAGGATTAGAAAACCAAGTGGATGATCACTTGTCTAGGCTAAATGAAGGGCAGCAAAGTGAAAGTGTAGTTGAGCAAGCCATTAAAGAAACTTTTCCTGATGAGCAACTATTTCTG